TTCCTGCTGCAAGGAGGCAGAGATAAAAAATTAACATTCTCTCTGGTACCTGATAGATGGCCATCTCAAATTTCACTTTCCTTTCAGAGAGTTTGCACACAGTCTCATCAAAATTTTGGGTTGTTTCCTGGATGGAAGCTTCAAGTTCCTTCAATTCTTGTCTCAGTTCCTGGGACAGGGAAGGACAAGAGCAGCAATATTATATCTGGAGGCACAAAGAAGCTCTGATTTAGTATATCAGATGCTGAAGACTGCACAATATGGAACTGTATCCTTCAGCCAGGTCTCAGAGATTACTTGTTTGGAAAGAGAGTGCTGCTGGTTACCAAATTATGTTGTCCAAATACAACTTTGAAGGATAAATATGATGGTATTATTTGTATATGGCATCAGCTACTCTGGGAATGGAACCTGAAAAAACCCCATATTTTACACTGGTACATTTGTGAAGGAAAGTTACCTTTTGCCAGTTATCATGAAGTTTGGCACATAATAATTGGTGTAAGAAGAGATTGCCTTACTTTACTGTCTAAGCTAGGACTTATTTAATAAGCCACGTGATCTTTGTTCTTCATTTATTCTATTTTTTAGTGTTCTGTTGTAGAAGTAGCTCCTGAGAAGGATCAGAAGCTTTGGTCATGAGGACTGTGAACAAAACCAATCCTTTTCTCATTTTAATTTACCATTCTATATTCTTCTTTTTCTTCATCCAGCTCCTTGACTTTTGTCTCATATTCTCTAAATAGTCTCCTTTCTTCTTCATTCCAAAGATCCTCAGACTTGGATATAAAAGGAGGTGGAGGAACATTCTGGAAGTATGAAAGACAAATATGCTTCAAAAGCAATACTAGGTCTCCATCAGCACTACAGCATGCATCAACTTTAATGAAATGTATTTCTTAGTAGTAAGTAAGGTACAAGCCTTAAGTCTAAGTTAACACATACATTCTGTTTCTCCGGTCTGTTCCTTGCACCAGTAGTTTTGGTGAAGTAGTATCATGCTATTCTCTCTCACCTGCTTGCAGGCATTCGCTACTGGATCTTGTAAAATACAAGTATTTTGTAATCACACACACTAATGTCAGTACAAGATATATAACATGTTCCATTTCAGAACCCCAAGTCTAACTCCATGTTACTGTATACTTCTAAATGGAGTCCTAATTTTCCAAAAGATTGATTCCTGGAATAGCACTTGGGTTTGCTCTGACCTTTTTCTGTGACACTACTTCCTCCACTACTGTACTATCTATCTTTGCTGAGTTAAATGGAACACAGTATTTTTCTGTAAGATCACAGCCATAGATAATAGGCCCTTCCTCCAGCAATACATTCCTACAATTATACAGTTCTCTGACTTTCTTCTCTTTGCTAGGTTGGTAATATTTGCTAGTTGACTGTCACATTTCTTAAAGAGCCCACAGGCTACCTACATAATATGGCAGAAATTCAGCTCACCATTTTCAAGATGTCTTCCCTTTTGATTTCTAGCACTCCACCCATCATGTCATCAAGAGCACGCAGTCTCTCATTGTCCTGGGAATGACCAAAAGATATTTTAGGGTACAAAAGGAAGTGTAGTAACTGAAAGTTTTGGGAATGATACTAGGGGGTAGTTCACCTCTAAATCACTCATATGATTACACTGTGTGTCACTAGTACATTAGTGCTCTTCAGTGATGTGTGTGAATTATGCTGAAAGTCTCAGAGGTTTTTCTGGTAGACAGATGTTCATAAATCAAATAACTTACAACATGCTGGCAGTTTTGGAAAGAATACATAGGCATAGACTGCTCCTGGTAAACTGACAAGCTAGGATGAAGGAGGTGTAGTGTCACTGTCTTACTCTGTTTCTTTTTGGGGCCATCTTAGGATTTTCACAGATTCATTTTAAAGCCAGAGGAAAGCATGATTTTCTAGTCTGATCCCTGAATAACACTGTTTGCTCTGTCAAGAAACACACATCAAGAACAAACCTCTTGATTGAGCAGTAGCCTGCATTTAGAAATGTGTCTAGTCCTCAGTCACCTGATATATTTTTAATTGCCACCAAGCAGATTGTTTAAAACTGTGAGCCTAACACTAGATCTTCTCTTCTCCAAGCTGGTCTATGTAGTTCTGACTGTAAATGGTAATAAGAGGGAAAAGGCACATGTCACCATTACCAACCACTTTAAATTCATTCTCCCATATTACAGTACTGGAATATTGCAGTGCAGCATTAACTAAATAAGCCTAACCAGAGACAAAGGCCTATTCAGTAAAAAGGATACTATTTGAAGTACCGTAGAAGCGTCGCGCCTCTCTTTTTCAAGCTTAGCCAGCAATTCTGCTTTCTCTTTCTCTTGTTGAGTCAAGGATTTTTCAGCTTTAATCTGAAAGAAGAGAGTGAGGTTCGTATCAGGGTTCTTTTCTCCACATGTGATCACATGTGGACTAAGAACATTTGGAAAGATGGTGCAATAGTAATTCTTAATACTTTTTGTATCTGTGCTTTGTGATAATGTTTCTCAAGAAGAAAATTTTTCTTCTGAGCAACTCCAAAAGCTGTATTTAAAAATGCTAAAATACATACTACCATCATTTTTCTGATGTTAGTAGTGTTTTGTGCATAGCTTTTCTGACAGTAGAATAACCTGGACTAGTGGGAGAGAAGAAAGTGGGGAAAAACAGACCAAAGAGCAGATGAGATCAGTGGAATATATTGTAAAAGAAATACAGTGCTTTTTCAATACATTATAAATTGAATTCATAAGTACAGTGCTCACTACGCTTTAGTACCTAGATAATTAGTTTGAAACTACTTAGTTTCAAAACGGTGCTCAGAGAAAACACAGAAACCCTCATCTATGGAAGTAATTCCTGCAAGCCTGGTTTGAATCTTGTAGTTGGAAACAGTGGGAATTTCAACCCAATTTATAGGCAATTAAAAACTTCTAACAGCAATAAATTAAGATTGTATAAATTTTGTTCATTTCAGATTGACTTACTAAGAGCTTTCTACCAAAAAAGGAAACCAAAGGAAAGCAAAAGAGTAAAAAAAGATAATTTTAAGTACACATATCAATGTTAAGACTTTTCATTACTGACAGTGTCTAGAAATGAGAAGAATTAGAGAACAGTCTTTGAGTGGGTGAAAGATTTCTTTTTCAGACACCTCTGAATCCTGAACAGTGAGTGCTCGCTCAGGTATCTCATCATCTGTAAGAGCTGGCTCCCACACTTTCATTTGGACACCAAGTTGTGACAAGATATCTCGGATCCTCAGGTTTCTTTCCTTCACTCGTGCTACCTCCTGCTCCTTTAGTTGTGCAACTGCGTAAAATTCTTCATTAAAAGCAGTTTTCACTTTGTAAATGATGTCCTGAAATACCAAAAAAGCAAACTGTAATACTGCACATGTCACATCCATCCATGATTTATATACCACTTCTCAAGCCATCAGAATCTTGAAAGTACTTGTATGTGTGACAAGGAGATAAACTGGTAAAGCCCTGTTGTGAAAATCATAAGGGCAGAGTTCAAGCTTTGTTAAATGGAGGTGGGCAGATTACAATTTTTAATTTTTTTCCCCCCTAGAATTTTATATTCCTTTTCTTCTACATATTTGCCATTTGACAGAGATTCTGAAAGAAACATATGGCTGCCAAGATGAGATAAAAAATTAGGCTGCCTTTCATTTTCTGTCATGGCACTCTTCAGCTGAAAGAAAAAGGGGCTTCAAAGAAAAAAAATCATGACATGTTTGCAGTTTGTATTACAGTAAATATTTGTGTCCATGATTATTTAACTGATTCCTAGTATAATAATAAGTTAGGATGTAATAAGGCAGGATGGCAGATAAGGTACAATGTTGCTGGAAGAGAAAAGGATGTGCTCAATGTCTGGTCGATCATCTACCTCTCAGCAAACTTACTGTTATGGCCAAGAACACTGAAGATTTATTTACACTTAGATGTATAATGTACATCTTTAAAGCTGGATAGTGGAAAGACCCTGCTACATCCAAGCTTGCATCTAAAAGTGCTCCTTGTGTTTATTCCCCATCTATTTTAAACACTAGTGTGTATCTAGTAGATTTTATGCATTTGAGTTCTATGAGTTCTGTTACCTTTTACAGCCTTAAAGAGCTCTGAGGAGGAAATTACTTATAGTGGTTTAACTGATTAACATGACCTACCCTTGTAGATCATGTTCATATGAAGCCTGTTCTGTAGCATGTTTACTAAACTGGCCAGGGTAAGAGAAGAGAGTCTAATAGTAATGAATAATAAATAACAAACATTGAAGACTCCAACTGAAGGGATGGCAAGACTGGAGAGAAAGGAAACGGTGTGAGGATCCAGCTGATCTTTCATTCAGGAGAAAATAATCTGAAAAAAGGTCATGTTTTCACAGGGCATGTTGAGATAGACAAGCTAGCTTTGGCAATACAAACTCTTACACTGAAGCACCAGTGGACAGTTACAGATACTGTCAAATTGGGTAACCAATTTCATAAAAACATTTTTCTTCCAGACCTGAACTGTCAAATTCATGTGGGGCTACACTGTATTATGTGCATTTATCAGCTTTCATCTCAGTAACTCAGGGTCCTGTGCAGCTCTCCATTGTGTAGTGCTAGCATGCCCAAAATATAACAGTTTCTGTGACTCCTGTGAGAACCAACAGATATGACAGCATCACTGCAGTAATAAAAAATCAAGAAGACATCACCTTCAGTAATACTATCTGGTTGATTTTCTGCTCCCTGGTGTGCAAGTCCCACTGGGGGTACAGGACAGAAGTGTCTCCACCATACTGAGAGCTGAGACTTCCAATCGGGCTGTAAGATGCACTATCATCAGCCATTACTTCTGCCTTCTCTCCTTCCTTAGGTAATACAGGCTTACACACAATCTCAGTATTTTTCTTTTGAACCTGAATATCACAAACATGATAACTATTAATTTTGTACACAATCCGGTGGCACATGCATAAAAAAACTCTAGAGGTTATATTCTGCAGTTAAGCTCAGTAATCAAAATAATACAAGTTGAAATTCTCATACTTGGAATATAGAGTCCATTTGATGGTTTTTCAGTACAAGAAAAGCATGAGCATCCTGGAGCATGTCCAGTGAGGGGAAACTAATACAATTAAGGATTTGAACCATCTAACATGCAAGGACGAGCTGAGAGAGCTTGAAACTGTTTAGCCTCAAGCAGGAGAAGGCTTGGGGGGGTCTCAGTACTGTATATAAAAATATGATGGTGGGGCATAAAGACAACAATGCCAGACCCTTCACAGTGGTGCTCAGTGACAGACAGAGAAAATGGGTATACATTGAAACACCAGAATGCAAATTAAACACAATGAAACACTTTTCCTGTGAGGGTTGTCAAACATGAGAAGAGGTAGCCCATAGAAGTTGTGGAATCTTCCATCCTTGGAGACATTCCAAACCTGAATGGACACAGGCATGAGTAAATGGTTCTAGGAGGACTGGACTAGATGCCTTCCAAAGGACACTTCTAACCTCAGCTATTGTGATGCTCTACTAACAATACATTTGTTCTGAGCAAAATGACAACATTTCATCTTAATTTTTATATATATATATATATTTATTATTTTTTTTTACAATTTCTACAGCAAGAAAATGCAGCTTAGTAATGTATTTAAATAAAATAAGGGTTCAGATGCCAACTCAGAACATCCTGTTCTGAAATGTCTTTGTACTGTACTTCAAAGAGATTGGTACCTTAAAATCAGTTGTCTCAATGTTTTTTAACTGGAGAACTTTCTCCAAAGCTTCCAGCTCTTCTTCACTACGTTCTGTCAGTGGATAATTCTTCACGTCAAAAGCCATATGGAAGCACTGTTCAAGTTTTAAAAAAGAACAAAAACCTAAAGTAAAAAGTTCTTCAGAATGCATCTATCAATTATATTGTTCAATATCTGAATGCTAAACAGTTAGAAAAAGTACTTAAAATCAGGAATAAAACTGAGGATCAGTTAGTATAGACAATGTAGTAAAAAAACATGAATAAGACAAAAAAAAATTCCCTTTTTAGTACTGAAAATGGTTGGTTTAACATTTGCTACTTTTTTGTCTTTTTTTATTTTTTATTTTTTTACATAAATACTTTACAGATATGGGCTCTTTATCCATGGAATTCAACTAGAACTAGATTTTTTGGGTAAAATTACTTAATCTTTCACCAGCTTGAGATAATCCAGTATCATCAATTTAACTAATTTCCCTCTGTTGAAAATAGGCAAAATGTGGGTTAAATTTTGCCTTTAAGTTCTGTGTAGCAGAAGTCATTACTGATTACACACAGAAAAGTAATATTTACCTCTCCTTTTAGCAACACTACATAAAGATATTTTCTGAGATGAAGGAATTAAAGAGTTGCTTATTTGCTTATCAGCACTCTTATCCATCTTAGAAGGTAAAATCAGAAAGATCTGCATGAGCTCTGGGATGAAGTAATTTTTTCCCCAAACCTTAATCAAATCAGAAATGTGTTATACTTCTGTTTATTTTTTCTCTGTACCTTAAGGAATCAAAAAGCTACTGCAGAAAATGAATTAGAAAGCAGAGGTTACCTTGATTGCACATCCTTTTACACACATGGCATCCCAGCACTCATGCTTGATGACATCCCTCAAGTAGCGGTTGGCTAAATTCTCCATCTCAATCTCATTCCTCACCTTTCAATATAGAAAAAAACTACTAACAAGATGTGGTACAAAATAACAAGATATGGGCAATTTGTGTTGAGTTACTGAGAGAAGCAGAAGAAACGAGTTACTAATCTTTCATCATCTTAGACTACATTTCATTATCTTAGACTATTGTAACTATCTTCTCCAAAATCTGTATTGCATGCTTCTACTACTACTGAAAGGCATATTCTACATTTAAAAAAAGCATTATAGTACTTAAGCAACTTGCCCAAGGCCAAAGTGTCAGACTTATACTCTCTGGCATAGATCATATTCCAATTGACAATGTCTGCATCAGCATCTTCACCTGCTTCAAAAAGTGACTTAAAATGCTTTTTAAGTTTTCCTGCTTCTCAGCAGTGAACAGCAACTTTGAGATCATCCTCTCTTCTTCAATCATTCCTTTTCACTGCTCATTTTAAAACGTTCTCCCTGCCTTCTATCATACCCTGTCCACTTTCTGGTCAGCCTCTGCTTGTGTTTTTTCCTGTTCTTCTAGATCCAGGTTGAACTCCTGCTGCTCCAGTTTCTCAATGTCTGGCACTTGTTCATTTTCATGCATCATTTTCCGAATCTGTTTTTTTAAAAAAATAAGTATAAGGAATAAAAAGTAATTTGAATGTGAAGAGAGGAGATGCTACAGAACTTCATGTCAGAGAATGTGCTTTTAATTGCTTCTACTTTTAACCTTCTCACTGGTAGAATGTGATGCCTGTAGCTAGTGACAGACAGTACTATATGAATAGCACTATGTGCAATCTGAAGGTGCACAAGCCTATGGGACCTGATGAGATGCATCCGAGACCCTAAGGGAACTGGAGGATGAAGTCACTAAGCCACTGTCCATCATATTTCAGAAGTTGTGGCAGTGTGGTGAAGATCCCACTGACTGGAAAAGGGGACACATAACCCTCATTTTAAAAAAGTGGAGAACTACAGGCCAGTCATCCTCACCTCTGTGCTCAGCAAGATCTTGGAGCAGATCCTTCTGGAAACTCTGCTATGGTACATTAATAATAAGGACGTGATTGGTGACAGCCAGCATGGCTTCACTAGAGGCAAATCCTGCCTGTCAAATCTGGTGGCCTTCTACAACAGGGTTACAGAGTTGGCAGATAATGGAAGTGCAACACAGAGAGCAACTGGTGTCCAGCAAAACAGGTAAGCTGAGACATCACCCTGGTGAGAAACTCACAGTTTTACGCAGCTTTTTAATGCCCATTTGCAGCTCTTCCTTCTGGTGAGCAAACCTCTGATTCTCTTCTGTAATGATCTGACATACAACAAATACATTGTTGAGAGACAAAAGTAGACAAAAATAGAAAATAATATTGAAATAATCAAAAGAAGCATCTGTACAGAAATTAGAATTCCAAACGGATTAATAACTGAAACAGACATAATTCAATCGGATGAGTTTTAGAATTGCTCCAGATAAAAAAATTGTACAAGCACATGGCATTGTAAACTGGTTGTACAGCAATAGAGCAGTTTCCAGGCTTACAAAGTGTTAAACCCCCTCTCTGCAGACAGTTAGGTGTTTGATGCACTTTTACTTATAAAAAGCTCTGGTTACATAACACACTCCCCTCAACCTTAACTTGAAACAAACCTCAGGGGTTTTGTCATTAATGTAATATTGTTGAACACCGATTTATTAGTGCCATAGAATCTGTTATTCTGGCCTTTGGGAAGAAGAGAGCACCTGCTTGGTTTCAGGTAATAATCTTCTATGCAACTCTATTACTTTAAGAAAAGTCTGTAAGTTTCTAAAGAAAGCCAGTTGCTCTGGCAATTTTTTTTGTTTGTTTACTCCTTGTGTAGAGATTGTCTTTTGGTCTTTAGAGCTCCTGTTGTGCTTGGTACCTTCTCTGATGTGTTTATAACCTTGACCTAGGATTTCTAAACGTCTAGGTTGCAATGCATTAAAGAGAGCTCCAAGTGTTGGAAAAGCTTTAGAAACTAGATTCCTTTACAGCATATACTTTGGCACCCCAAATAACCACTGACTCTTGAAAACTCTGGATTGAATTAATACTTGTTCTATGAAAGTACCTTCTTTATTTTCTGACCCATCCATGACATGTCATCGGCACTAGCTGAATACAAACTGGTGATGTTTCTGTCTTCTTCTGTCACCTCTACACTGGAAGATTTACATGCTGCCTCCTGAAATTAAGAATACATGCATCCATCTTAGGTACGTAGAGAGAGAGTGGGAGAGACAGAAATTAAATGAAAAACGGACTCACATTAGAAGTAACACCACCAAACTCCAGGGAGTGTTAGAACATTTTTATTCTCTATCCAGTTCCCAGATTTGATCCTGCAAACCCTTGCTATTATGCGACAGCTTTTGACTCAGACTGACTGTACTAATCTTTGTAATCAGTGCTTTGCTTGATTTCAATAGAAAAATATGACTAGTAACACACAATGAATAGCAGTAACATCACAATGGGAACGACGCATAGCTTCATATAAGGAGAAACTGACTTTCACAGACTTTTCTGTGGCTGAAGGAACCAACTGAAATGTAAGATGTGTATGCCATCTTCCCAGAACTATTCAATTGCCTTGATAATACTATTCCACAAATTGATAATAAAGCATATTTAGCCTATCCTTAGGGGTATTCTACTTCTACAAAAGGACCAGAATTTATTTGAACGGCAGTTTTTATCATGTGTAATTTTAGGATAATGATCAAATCTTCTGCCCCTATAAAAATAAAGAAAACACCTTAAATGTATCTTCTGGAAGTGATTCTGATGTGGATTCTGGGTCAAACTGCCATTCTGCCATAGATTTTAAAACAGTGTTTTCATTTGAAGTACACTTGTTCAGTACAGCAAGAAGAGACTGCCAGTGACTATCAGCTTCCTGATCTTCAGTTTTCTTTATCTCCCTAAAAAACAAAAAAAAGGATGTATTTTTTTAAAAATTCTTTTTAAATCAATTAATGAGATATTTTAAAATGCCTATTCAATACTTTCACATATGATTCAATACTGCTTGATTTCTAGAACTGCATAATTTAGTGAAGCTCCCACAGAATCAGAAATCTCAAAGGATGGATCATCCAGATTAGAAATATTGCTCTGGCAGAGTTATCTTTAACCTATCTACATGATCATTTGTTATACCACAGAAAAGTGTAGTTTCAAGTATCTTTTAATCCCAATGTCAGCTAAGAGCTCTCTTTTGGCATGGTTGAATTGCCATTAAATGTGATGTCTCTTAATTGCAGAGTTAAAATAGTATCTCATGAAATAACAGCCCTTACGTCTCGAGAGAGCTCCCTTCAGATGGTTTACTTGAGAGTGGTAAGAAGCTCAGTATGGGTAACACTTATCAGAAGATAGTGTTATATCTTGTATTGCAACCACACCCCAAAAATAAGTTTCCATAAGCTAGGGAGGCTGCCTCTTACAGAGGAGTGATTTTATTTCTATCCAATTCTCCTCTTACTCTGGCACTAATAAAAGGAAGTCTAGAATCACAAGAAGATGCAAATATTAGTCTGTCAAGAGCCAAGAATCTCCACCATCAGTAAGTATTGGTCTGCCACTTTATACATACTTCCATTTCAGACACACCAGGGTACCATCATTTTCACCAGTCACCAGGATGAATTTGCCATCCAGCGAAAATACCATGGATCTGATTCCCCCTCCTTGATAAGAGTGACAGTGGTTTTGAGCAAGTATATCCTAGAAAAGTCATAGAAGCAGTATCAGTTAATGTTTTTCTAACAGAATGTCTGTAAATTATACTTCTTTATTTTTTAAATAAGAGTTAATCCAAAACATCAATGCAAGGTACATAAAAATCAAGGATTGGCGAGTTTATAATTTCTGACTACAGATAGGGCAAGTATCTAGCATATTGATTTTGCAGGAGATAAAGAATTGCAGTAAAATTTACCCTAAGATTTACTGGAGACAAAAGGAAGTAGTTTGTATGATTGTATACACATGCATTATAAAATCAATTGTACTGTGTAATGCTGTGTCAGTTCATGTTCAACAGAAATGTTTGTGGAACACTTTTGCTTCAAGTGAAGAAAAGGTTACAGTGAAAGAAAAGTAGCCTTCACACCTCTTTCTCATGTAAGCCAAAAAAATCCTGTGCCTGGATGTCCACCTACCATTGTGGAAATATGATAGATGAACAAAACACCATCCCTTGCTACTGATGCCAGCCACTGGCTGTTGGGTGATAAACAGAGGAAACCTGATCCAAACTGATTGCTAGGAGTCCTCTTTTCTGATAAAAATGCTGATGCATCTTCCAACATATTCTGCCAAACAAACAAAATGTTAGTAGCCATTCAGATGATGGAAATATCGATGCCATTTTAAGAAGACCAATTATAGCTTTTGCGGGTTATCAGATGCGTTGCAATTTAAAATGTTGGATTACTGAGCTCAGGCAGCAGTATCATTGCTATGCTGCTGATTTGCTTCCAATGTCCTCAAAAGGGTCTGTATGCAATATGTTTGGGCCTGGAGTTTCTTGACTTAGAAAGTACTGGACTTGCCAAGGAGACTCACTTTTGGAATTCACCTCCTTACTTGACCTGACTCTTAAACTGAGGGAGACCTATGAGCTGCAGAGAGCTCCAGTTCTTCACAGGCAATGACAAAGGCTTCCGGAAGCATCCACTACATCCCTGCATCCCTTGCAGGGCAAGGCCAGGCTCTGTTTGTTTGCAGTTGTGTATACACATGGGAGTCATGGGCTCAAACTGGCTCAGCTCCTTCAATAGCTGGGTATTCAGGTTACTCAGCAGGTTGCACGAAAGTAAAGCTCCAATACAGAAGCTACGTGTCAAGTCCCTGCAGGCTGTGTGAGTTTTAAGAACCACTACTTGGCTTTCTCTGTAATAGAACAAGGAGACTGAATTTGCCAGGTTTCTGAGCAGGTGGAAGAATACTGAAACTTGATGTTTATGGATGGAGTAGGTATTTTCAGTGCAGAGAGGATATTTTAAAAATAATACCCTACTATATTCACTTCACCTACAGCCTTTGTTCACTGGTATTTAACCACCACTCAAAGCAGCTTCAGAGAATTACCTCTTGAGAGAGATGATATCTGCAGATGAAAGGTGCACAGGTACAGTAACCATACACGAGATTATCCTTCAATCTGACTGCTGAGCTCAGAGGGCAATCCAGATCATACTGCTGCTTTTTAATGGCACTAGCATTAAGCACTCCTTGTTCATTAACATACTTATCATTATCTAGAAGATTGAAAAAATGAGCAGGGAGGAACAGGCATCACTACCATTAATACAGGTGCTTCACCTATCAAGTAATGATGAGACTAATCTCAGCAAGGAATGGGCATAATGGGAATTTTCAAGGAGACTGAGAATTAAGATACCTAACTTTCACACTGACTCAGGGTTATGCTGATGTAGCACACTGCAGGGAAGAGAGAGCTCTACTAGCTCTAAAGAAGTACTGGAAACAGTGTAACTACAGTGATGTGACACATTAGTATATGCTAATTTACCTTGCATCTTGGGTATTATATAAGCAGTGCTAATTAGTTTGCATGGAGGTTCATGTCATCATTGCTTTCATCTATAACTTGTTTAAGCATCTCTGCCACAAAGTGAATGCAGCTTGAGTGTCATTGCTTAAAACACTTAAGTTCACATCTTCAAAGGGGCATTTTAGTCTTTTTGGTTTACTAATTTGAGTTTTAAAGAGATATCTGAATTTAAGATTGATAGAATAACTGTAGTTCTTCAGCAACTTTAAAAATCAACCCTATTTTATGTCTAAAATTTGGTACTGAAAAAAGGCCAACATTAGTGAATACTTAAAGAAAATATTAGTGTCACTGAAAATTAATTTTTTGAAAGTTTGTAAATTCTAAGGCCTTTTAAAATTTACATGTAAATAACTAAAAAAATTGACACTAACAGATTTACAGAAGTTTTCTCCAGAAAAGGCTTTTTTTATCACTTGCAAATAAAGTGAGCAAAATGCTATTAAAATACACTTATGCTAATAATGAATACAGGCTGCCTTTTGCTGTAATGTGATAGACAGAAGACTTATCTGAAATGCCAAACTATATGGATTTGGCAGCTCTTGGGCGGAAGGGACGTGAAACTGGAAGTGCATGGTGCCCCTGCCAACCCTGCCTCTCCTGTGCTGAGGACACCAAGCACAACATTAGCCTGCACTATTTCTTAGTTACATTAATGCATTTAAGCCATTTCATAACAACTGAATTGGTTTCCCAGCAGTTCCAGAAAGTGCCCCAAATCAATGCATTCCTAGAAGTTTTAGATATTACTAGAATATCAGACACAAATAAAAGTTCTGTGATTATTCATGACACTCTGGTCCATTATTTTATTGCTTATAGTACTTCTAAAATGCTCTAATATTATTACTGTGTGTTCTTGCCTTAGAAAAATATCACAGTGTATATTTCAATTATTACCTGTTGTGAGTGCTGAAGATAGACAAAAAATTTCCAGTCTTGCTTTCTGGACCTCCACTACATTAACAAGTGCCATCACTTCAACTAAGTCATTCTTGAAGTCAGAAACTACAGAAAGACCCAGAACTTCATCTGCCAACACTGAAGAAGATAGGGAACACCAAATCAAATTGTTACTGAATAATGTTAACACAGTTTTACTAAGATACCATCTGAAATAAAGCAAGATCCCTGTTCAGAACATATCCCAGCTCAACCACACAGCAGTCCCCAGGTTAAAGATGCCTTGGGCAGATATTTATAACAGTAGATTGCACTTGGCTATCACAACCTACAGGGTTTTTTGTCTAGGTTGTCATATGCTGAGCCACAAAAGTCTGAAGTTCTTTGCCAGCACTATTACTTTTGTGCTGGAGTTATGATCAGTTGGTCAGCCAATCCATTCTCTTCCCTGTAACTTACACATGCCCTGGAAGCAAAGTAATATCGGTGCATTTGCTAAATAAAATTACTGAGAAAAAAAGAAAAAAGATTGGCTGGGATGAAATATGGTTGGGAAATAGGTGGGAAGAATATGTTTAGTCTTCCTAAAAAAAAAAGGTAGAATGAAGGAGAGTGGCTTCATCTGACCAGCAAGTATACTTAAAATACAGGGAAATATACAGAAAATAGTGAAAACACAAGATAATTAATGTTGTTACATACCTACATATCCAAGAACCTGGAATAACTTTGAAGGCCGGGAGTCTAGAATAAAGATATGTCCTTCTGTAGCTCTGGCAATGAGGAACTGGCCACTCTGATCATAACTGGAGCAAATATAAATGCAAGCAGGAAACAGTTTAATACAGTCAATAAAAAAGGTCAAATAATTCCATTCCCATTGGACATAAACACAAATGAAATTTCAGCTTCTAGCTTTACACAGTTAGGGCCTGATACTAAGCCCAGTGCTGTGAGTGAAATTTCTGAGTGGGTGATCAATCTAAAGCTAATGATACTCCACAGAGGTCTATGTTAACAACATTATTAAATCTTTTATTGAAGTTCATTTAAAAAACAAACCAAAACAAACTACTGTACAGGTTTTGAATAGACACGTCTTGGTTTACATTGATTCCATAACTGTGAGCAAATCAATAATGACAAATGTTAATAAAAGTCCACCATATAAGGATGGATATCCCAAAGGATTAAAATTAATTTCACAAAGCCTCAAATTTATATTCAGTGAGAAATAACCCTCTAAAACATGGAATAGGGCATAATTACTGCATATGGTGATGTGTCAGCAAGAAACTTGTACATCAGTATAAGTGTTCAGTTAAATCTTCTTAAAATACAGGTTTATTATAATTCTCTCATATAAATCCTGCTAATACTCCTCTTGCAAGCAATTTAAACTAAGTTGGAAAAACCTGAAGCTACTAAAATATTGTACTTTGTTATTTTTCAGAATAAAAACTTCAATATTTTCTGTTCAACTAACAGCATTACTCAAGCAACAAACTGACAATATCCCTGCCCATGTTGCTACATACTTACTGCAAAGACAGCACTGGAAATTTGGAAAGAAAAATTCTGTGAACAACCCGTGGAGCTTCAGCATTGGTAACATCAAGGAAATAGATCTGACCTCTGCTGGTCCCTAGAGCAACACTGTTGGAGGAGGGACAGCAAGCCATAGCAGTTGCCTAGTTGAGAAGTAAAATATATTTAACAGTTCCATATCTTTTAAAATATTACGCTATATGTAAGTATGCTATTTCTTTTACTATTTAAGATTCCCTAAAATTTGGAGAAGAAATGCCAAGTGGTTTATCAAAAAAGCTTTTTTTAAAAAAGATTTTAGAGACAATGTAAGTATTTTTACCAATGCTCTGTATCTACATTTTAAAAGCTAATTCTGCACTCCTCAGAAAAAAAAGCAGTATGTCCACTATCCAGAGTGAAAGATGTTCCAGCTAAACAAAACAGTGAGTGCTGTATTACGGTACAGCTGTTATAGAAAAGGACTTTTTCCTTTCTATATCAGATTTCAGGGGTTTAATACAACTTAAATCAGGGCAAAGCATTAAAGTTTGAAATACATTTATCAGCTCACTTCCTAAATCTTGTTTTTCAGATCAGTCAAGGCATTTAGTTTCTCTGTGCCTGAAACTTTTCCCTTCAGTTATGACACTCATTACAAATAAAAATGTAATCATTAACATAATAAGAATATGTTGTTATTTGAAAATATATGCATAAAGACATATCACTAGGACATCAGGTTGAAATGTTTCCTCTGCTTTATATCTTTTTAACCAAGTTAAATCCATAATTAGTTCAAGGAAACATTCTGAAAGCAGTCTTTAAAATCTCTTACATGGGTTGTTCAGAGACTCTACTGATCCAAATCCATGGAATATTATGCTATGAATTGAAAAAATACTAAAGGAAATTTTAAATATCAGTCACTATATAAGCTCCTGGTTACATGTACCTCGATATCAAGGTTTAGCTTGCTAAGGCAAGTTCCATCTTCCAGGAACCAAACTTGGACTTCACCTGAAACTGTTACAGACTGTTGAACAGAGAAAAACACAGTCAAAAGAGAATGGAATAACCATATCATCTGGAAGTTACTAGTGATCTTCCATATAATATAAATTCAACTGTCTGAGTATAGCAGATCACAGTTTTTGCTTGGAATTATCTTGTTTTTCCTTTAAGTCCTGTTGCTGCAAGGTACACCTACCTAAGGAAAACGTTTAATAATTTTAGTGAATTGCTGCAACTACAGAAATGGTTTTGAGGCAGAATGAGACAATCTAGGGCAAAATATGTAAACTTGGTCAGTATCAGCCCTCCCACCATTAGACAGCAACAGAAAAACCTGCTTACAGTTTTCTTTGCATAGGAAAGGGCTTAAGGAGGGTTCTTGTTTTCTCACACAAAAATATGATAATGCTGCTTGATTTCTCATATCCAGGCAATTTTATAATTCCACAGTGAAGTATGGCTAGAGATCAATCAACCCTCACATTACTCATTCAGAATCACGTAAAATTTATCATTGTCATGCTAATGACAAATAAACAGATTCAGCAAACCTAACTGATTAAGACCCCAGGGTTCCTAGGCTGGCTACTTGAAGAATTCATGGCCTGGAGATGAATCAGACTTGCTGACTAAAATATATGTCTTGAAGGAATCAAAGACATGGGAGGAAAGCAATCAATTTCTCAGAATAGACTGATCCATAAGCAAGGCCTTCTTTGACCCTGGTCCCAGGACAGAGGTCTCTCAGGCTGTTCCAGTTTGTGGTAAAGGCTGAAAAGATCATGAGGAATTTCTTGTTCCAACATCTATTATCTGAATTGAATCACCTTTTGCAAAGCTATGTTCCTGAACAATAATGAGTCACACAAATCAACAGCAGAACCAATAAGACATTTTAGCAGCCTGTGAATTATCCACCCTGCTTTCTAGGGGCAACTTCTGACCCTCTTATAGGCCATACTTGAATTAATGCATTTACTTCCTTAATGTGAAGTTACACAACTGTAACAAATCTCAGAACAGTCCCAGTCTCTACAGGGCTTTTGGTTTTGTGTCTTGGCAAAGAAAAGCTTAGCTTAGAAAAAGCCATTATTGTATATAGGAAAGAATAACATTTCTTACCACACAGTACTTATTCCCTGGAGTAAGAAAATCAGCTGCCAGAAAACAACTACTGCATGCATCCAAGAGTTTGACAGCTTCTCCACTGTGGGCAGGTTTGTAAGTGTAGACTGTCCCCTGACAAATAAAGAGAAATAATCCATCACTGAGATAAGAAAGTTTTCATTAAAAGCTCTCAAAGACTTCAACTAAAAAAATACCCACCTTTCTGACCTTCAGTCTTTAAAGTTCCATAGTTTACTCTAAACTGAGGTTAAAAGTGCCCAGTAGAATTCAGCTGAATTTACTGCATTAAATTACACTAGCTGAAGATCAGGTTAGTTCATTTTAAAGTGATGCAGCTCATCACATTTTCAAGAAGTTTGTTTTAATTTTTCTCAAAATTGCTTTAATTAAATAATTTAAAACCACCCTGTTTCATGTTACTCCAGGTATCAAAACAACATGAAACACAAATTAAATTTTAAGCTTTAAGAGATACTTTTATCTAAAGATCTCAAAGCCTTTTAAAACAATGAATAAGTAATACTGACAAAGACTTTAGAACTCATCTACTTGTTTTACAAAAGGAGAAAGAAATCGGAGAGAGAATGTGCCACAAGTTACCATTGCACTGCTTTCTTGAACACAGAACCTCCTGACTGACACACACACACTCTACAAAAACATTTTAAGATATTTTAAAATGTCAATTTAAATTATTCAAAGTCTGGGAAAACAGGTGGAATTGGAGGATTTGGGAGCCTTGTGTGAGATTTCTGGACATAAAGCTGTTCGAATAATGACCTACGTTGCCAAATAAATTTAGGTACATGTACAGAACAAGTCTGTAGCCCCAGTAGGTCTGATGCACCCAAGCTATACTTTTCTTACTGTGCAGGTACACATCAAGCCTAGAGCTCATGCTCAGCAGGTCCCATGTTACCTAGACACACTGAAGACCTTGAACACATACATACTCCACTGTATATATCCAAGTATTTGTTTGGAAATCTCAGCATTAGGCACTTGATAATTCACCAGCTGTAGGGGACAACTGTTCTGTGCTTAATTAAAAGTCATTCCAGTCTTCCATGAAAAACACAAGATGGACCAACTTCACCTCTGATACAATTTGTTGACTTGCGTGATTACACTACAGACATTTCATACTAAGTATCAGCATGTATACAGAATCACAGGAACATCCCATTACATAATGCTGTTCTCTCAGGTGTCATACCTGGTCAGTGACAAGCAGGAGTAAGGTGTAATCAGGAGAAAATACCAGGCTGGATATGGGTTCTGAGATATCAGCGCAGATTTTCATCTCATACTGCCCATATTTGATGTGATAAAACAATAATGTGCCCTCCTGTGCAGAAAAGGACAAATACACATCAAGTCTAGGTCATTTATCCTACCTCACTCTGAACTGAAAGAGCTTCTGAAATTCCCTCAGGTAACAGTGTTTAATTGGATCCCCTCACTAATGGTCTCTTTTGTCTTTAGTGTATTTAAATTCAAAGGAGTCTTTCCCTGAATAATACATCTATTAAAAAAAGGTGTTCTTTAATACAAATCTTAGTAACAGTTCATGTTTGATAACAACAGTCTCTCCCATTGGTCAGTACTAAAAATTTCATATTGTTTCTTCTGACACAGTATAAGAATTTGTCCCACTCTTAAGCAGTAAGGTAAAATGGCATTGTCAGTTTTGGTTAAATACTGAGTTAGATTTAACACAAAATGATTTGGCAGTTCCTTGGACATTTTGTCTCATTTCCTGTTTTTGTCCATCCTCCTTTACTGTTCCTCTAGAACAGTCTTTTGTTAAATATAGGATTGTCCTCTTCTGTTTCTTCTTTTACTACAAAAATTAGGTATCTTCCCACCCTGCTCCCTTCGGATTTCTTGTCTTATGCCTTAACAAAAAAAGTATAAACACCAGAGAAGGCCTTTATAGTTCTGCAGCCCTCCACTCTTTTCTACCACCTGTGTTTGCAGTGAACTCTGCAAATATACTCCATTTGAAGGTCCTTTGATTTCCACACAGTAAGAGTAAGTTGAAGGTCTAAAGGATGCCTTACCGTTCCAGCTGCGTACAGTCCCTCGTTACAAAATGCCATGGAAAATAAAGCTGGTTTTTGCAGATCCTCTGGTTTGCCACCTGACAGCACAAAACCAACACAGAATATCAAATGTATCTTAATGTAACAAGGCATCTCAACTTTTCTGGGATGGTTTATTCTTGTGAGTAAAAAGGCTATATGGGCAATGTATTTTTTTGACTTTTTGGTGTGATAATGAAAGCAAAGGCTGGTACACATAACTTGAAGTGACAGTATCACTGTGGTCTGATGAACTAGAAGTTAAGAAATCATCTGATTTTGTAAAAGCTGCTAAATAGCCACATTAAAGTTTGTCAATAACAGAATCATAGATTCATTTAGATTGGAAGGGACCCTAGAAGTCCTCTGATCCACCTTCCTGCTCAGCAGAGCCAACTTCAAATTCAGAACCAACTTCAAAGTTAGATCATGTTGTCCAGAGTCATAACCAGCTGACGTCTGAATATTCCATAGTTTTTCTGGGCAACTTGTCCCAATGTCTGACTACCTTCACTGTGAAAGTTTTTTTTTCTAATATCTATCCAGAATTTCTGTTGATGCAAACTGTGTCCTTTGTCCACCAGGCTCTGTCTTCTCTGTAACCTTTCCTTAGGTAGTTGAAGCAATAGTAAAATCCCCCATTTCCTTTTCTCCAGGCTGAACAAACTTGGTTCTCTTAGCCCATCTTTGTATAATATGTGCTTTGACTCTGCCATAATTTTTGTGGCCATGTGCTGAACTTCATCCATTATGTGAATATATTTTTTGTACCATAGACCCCAAATCAAAGTGTTTGAAACAAACCTCTAAATCCTAACTCAATGAAATAACCAGTGATTGCAGTTCAAGAAAAGTTACTAAAACTGAGCAGGAGGGATCCTATTCTAGCATCACTTATTCCAATTTAAATTAGAATGTACAGAAATTATTTAACTGCCACGGTTTCTACTGAGGCTGTTCATCTGGCTGTCTATTAGCACAAAAGCTGTTAATCATTTGTCATGTAAACATGTAAAAGATTGCCATCCTTGTGCCTTATAGAGGCCAGCATGAGCTGATTTTATTCTAACCAATAGCTTCCAGCTGCAAGCACATATTATCACTCCCAGTCATCAGTGATGCTGCCTAAAAATCTGTTGGCTTGATTTGGACATGGAAATACCTTTCTTTTTCTGTACTTCTCTACGAGCATACGACACCACATCCAGTATTTTACACAGGTATTCTGCACAAAAGAAAACAATTTATAAGGTCAACCTTGTTTATATGCCAACATTGCAATAGAAGCCAGTGCTATTCCAGTCTACTGAACAAAAGGCCAGGTTCAGTACTCTGAACAAAAAATGTGCATTCCCCAATATCCACCATTCCTGTAATTTATGTAACTGAGCAGGCACAGTCTTTCTGGGATTCAGCTTACAGCTGTAAAAAGGAGATAGCAATACTTGGCATGGAGAGTGGTACAGATGCAGATTTATCTGTCTTCTAATGATAAGTTCTGGTATTGTTGCTTAGATTTTTATTTTTTTAAAATGTACTTGCAAAGGAAACCTCAGTAAGTCTGAAAAAAATACCCAAGTGTGGCTGCTCATGATTGTTTGCAACACCATAGTGCTAGAGGGAAGCAGACACGACTGAACCAGTGAACTTGATGTGCACAGTAGGACTGACACCTGCCATCCCTGCAAAGGACTATAGGGTACAGGTTGCCACTGCCAGGACACTTTGGGCACAGAAGGGTAGCATGTGACAGGCAGTAGAGGGGAGACCTCAGGATTCCCAGAGTAAAGAAGGCATGGAATGGGCTGCTGTTGCTGAAAAACTGTAGTTAGTCATCAGCCTGACAAAGACCCCCATTAAAAAAAAAAAAAAAAAAAAAAAAAAAAAGAGACAGGTGGGAATACATACAGGGCAGACAAATCACCTCAGTAACGTGAGGTCCTCCCATTCTAGAATAAATTAAAAGCAGATTTCTTTGAAGTCAGAGACATTTTCTGTTCACTCCCTGTGCTTCATACTTTCTGCAGTAAAGACTGTCAGTCTTTACAGTCTTATTTTCACTAGGAAATAGTTTATATAAGAGCTGACCTAAAGGAATTCTATTAAGCAACATTACATTAAATTCAGTTTTGTTGTCTGAAGACTCATCAAGAGTTTTCAAAGATCTTTTTTGGTATTTCACATACCAAATGAGGACAATCCAGTATTTCATGCAAAATAAAATATATTATTGGTACTTAGGTAATAGTAAAAAGACTGTATATAGCTGCTATATTAATAGTTTAATGTTAATCTATTAGAGCTGGTTAATAAGATCTGGGTTCCTGGAACTACTTCCTGTTCATTTTATCAGTTATGATGTATTTAGAGCTTTTTCTCATTTTTTGCCCAAGTAAAATGAAAGCAAATTATTGGGCACTAAAGAAATGTACACAGTTCAAATTACATTCTCAAATGTTTCTCCTACTAACAAAAGAAATAGGGTTCTACAATAGGGTTTTACAGTTTCTGTAAAGTACAAAACAGGACAACAGAAGAAAGCAAAGAAAAGCTGGGAATACATACAGGGCAGACAAATCACCTCAGTAATGTGAGGTCCTCCCATTCTAGAATAAATTAAAAGCAGATTTCTTTGAAGTCAGAGACATTTTCTGTTCACTCCCTGTGCTTCATACTTTCTGCAGTAAAGACTGTCAGTCTTTACAGTCTTATTTTCACTAGGAAATAGTTTATATAAGAGCTGACCTAAAGGAATTCTATTAAGCAACATTACATTAAATTCAGTTTTGTTGTCTGAAGACTCATCAAGAGTTTTCAAAGATCTTTTTTGGTATTTCACATACCAAATGAGGACAATCCAGTATTTCATGCAAAATAAAATATATTATTGGTACTTAGGTAATAGTAAAAAGACTGTATATAGCTGCTATATTAATAGTTTAATGTTAATCTATTAGAGCTGGTTAATAAGATCTGGGTTCCTGGAACTACTTCCTGTTCATTTTATCAGTTATGATGTATTTAGAGCTTTTTCTCATTTTTTGCCCAAGTAAAATGAAAGCAAATTATTGGGCACTAAAGAAATGTACACAGTTCAAATTACATTCTCAAATGTTTCTCCTACTAACAAAAGAAATAGGGTTCTACAATAGGGTTTTACAGTTTCTGTAAAGTACAAAACAGGACAACAGAAGAAAGCAAAGAAAAGCTTTTGCTTTTCTCCGTCCTTGAATAAAACACACAACATAGCTATTTCTTACCAGGTAGAGGTTTTTGTTGAAGAAAAGAAATGCTGAGTGTCTGAGCATCAATTGCCAAAACAAATCCTTCTCTACAGCCCACATAGACTTTTGAGGTTGCAGTCCAGCTGTGGTCAGTAGGATGCACTGGAGGCTTCATTTTATTTCTAGGCTTCAGCACAAAAATAAACAAGTTCAACCAAAACCAGACAAATATCTACACAAGCAGTTACATACATTTTAAGGAAAAAAATTAAAAATCATTACCTCATAGAGTCTGACTCCCTGTATAACACACATTTTATTCAGTCATCCCTTCACTGAGGATAGTAACTTGAGAAACAAAAGCGTTTTTGAGAAAAGCCCATGACCGGAGATAAAGTTGGAGAACTTAGCCCTCTCCCTAGAAGCTTGTTTAAATTATGAATTGTAAAATGAATTTTAAAATTATATCTCTTTAAGCTTGAATTTATCTGGATTTATTCTCCAGCACTTTCATCTGTTACAGTTTTGTCCTTTAATTTGGAAATCCCTCCAGTATCTTCTATGTCCTCATAAAGATATTGACTCACCAGAGCCAGGTCATCTTCCAATTTTTTGATGATAAAATTATACAATTCAAGATATTGAGCACCTAGGAATTTTTTTTAATGTCAGAATAGTACTGGAAGCCAAATACTTGGTTACCCACACAGTTACACACTATGACCTCACCCTGACAAATGATTTTCGAACTGCTTTTCAGAATAGTCTTCAACTTTGTAGATATAACCTGCACATGTGGTCTTAACATATTTGGCAGTACTAGAACACATTTTGTTTCAATACTTTATCTTATCATATAATCCAAATTGCTCTGTAAAATAGCTCTGCCAGCCTTTGTGCCATCTGCAAATAATTTCTAGAAATATCCCTGCCACAGACTTCCTATGTGCCTTGCATTTCATTTTGCTAAAATAAATCTCATAAATCCATGATCCATTTAACAAGAAGAAGAGAACTTCCCCACCAAATATTAATAAAGACAGTGATCTGTTCAGATACAACAGTAACAGGAGTCATATAATTGTCATGATAGAAAGAATCAAGTTGAAGAGAATTCAGGGAGGTGGGGAGGAAACAAACACAAGAAAACATTGAAAGACCATTTAAAAGAGAAAATTCAAAGAATCATGCATGTGAGAAGTAGTGGTGGGGAATGCTAGAAAATAGGATGGAAAAAAAAAAAAAAAAAAAAAAAAAAGAAGAGTCTATAATTCTATAAAACACCTGCTGTTTCACTAAAGGTTCTGGGGAAAAAAAGGGAATATGGGTGGACTTCTGATGACAACACAGGACACTTATTTCTAAGTACCCAGATTTCATGTAAAATATGCCAAGAACTTCTTATATGATTCTGGGTAAGTAACTTACTCTCTATTTATGCTTACAAAGCATTTTTAATTTTTCAGGGTGAAAATTACACAGAAATAAAATATATTAATATTTACTTTATAAATCCAAGAAGACAAAAAGTAATAAATCTATAACTAATGGGGCTTTACATCACCCAGAGAAACATTTATATAGGCATTTTCACTGATTTTATGAGGCTTGAACATCACAAATCTTTGGGAAAGTTGTAACTGAACAACTGTGAATCAGAAGCTTCCTGTGTAAAGACAACTGTTGTAATGTTCCCTTCTATCTGCTGTCATTAATATCTTTAAACATAAACATAAACTAGGATGAAATTATGTAAATCCCAAACCAGGTTGCTTCTTGAACAGTGCATTGGTATGGTGGTGCCTAATAATAATAATGCCATCTTTTTTTTAAACTTCTCTCCCTTTTGAGTAGCATCTCTTTAGAGAAAAGAAAAATCCAGGATGGATCCTCACAATGAAAAGCTTTATTAAAAACAATGGAATAAAATTGGTGCTCAGAAAGCAGTGGAGTCAAGTGGTCTTGTAATGGTAAAGCATATTCAGGAAACTCAGGCCTCCCAAAAAATCGAAACAAAAATATATCCAAGGCAAGAAAGACAAGGATCAGAAGCTATAGGGGATGTCAGTTCCTTTCACTCTGCTGCCCCCTTGTGGTTACACTTTGGTACATACCCAGGCTCAGGATCTTACTCTAGACCATGGAATTCTAACACGTTACAAAGACGTCAGCAAGTGCACTGGGAATGGGCTACCTTTTCTTGCCACTCACATATTCCTTAGGAGTGGGCTACGGCCTCCAAGAACAATGGACTACAGGGTGAGAACAACTCCTTTAAATAATAGTATAAATAAACGGTTCTCCACAAGGACACCAGCAGTTACACAGTTGAAAACCTCTTTGAATCTGAATGCATGAAGCCATGAAAAGAGGATGAGGTCAGGAAAGCATCAAGCCTTATTTTTTTTTATTCTGCTTATGGCAGAAACCTGTGGTATACTAATCTGATAACACAGAACTCACGTTTGTGCATTGAAAAAACTGATTGTAATGTCAGTATCATCTTATTCATGGTAGCTTTTGTGTCTCGTATATATCACAAGCCAACAAATAGAAATTGATGGTCCTAATCTTACACAAGAATCCTAGATTTGCAAGTTAAATATTACCACACTGGGAGATGCTTCAAGTCAGCAGTCAGGTAAAACTAAATCTCAAAGAAAGAGAGAACACTTTTGAAGCCTCTGAAAAGAGGCACCTCAACGGAGGCTGACAAGTAAAAATGAGCAGGTCCAACACTAACAGGGGCATGGGAATGTACTTCAGAAGCAGGGGTTGCTGTCTGGAATAAAGCCTTCAATGTTTCCATAGCTTGAGACATTTTGAGAGTCAAAATTAAAAGAAATCCCATGGGGAAGTAAGGATACCTGAAGGTTACTATCAGTTTAGCATGGGAATAGGTTTTCAGGGTTTCAGCAGGTCATATTAACTCGGGCATAGTTAAATGCTGACCTGCTTATACTGCTTCTTGGGCATAGCTTAGTACCTCCACTGCACAGACATTACTATGCTAAGACCTGTGTCAGAAATCTCTATATTGTACTAGCAGCATGCTTTCTAAAATTTGTGTAAAAATGGATTTAAAAAACATTGTTAAGATAACAGATCTATTTACTGGGTAGCACCTGCTTAACTGATGGTAAGATTTTTAATTTATTAACACCTATTTGCATAAAAGTATAATGATTTTGAATACTACAAAGAAAAAAGATCAGTAACTACCATGAATGTTTCTGCTTCATCTCCTACCAGTCCAGCAATGGCTGAAACTGGCAAATCTGGGCCATAGTATGGATCTTCATTGTGAAAAACTGGGAAAAACAAACCCTCATCAGCATTCATGAACCCTTGTTCATCAGGGAGTTTCACAGGGCTGTGAAAAAGCAAAAAGACACTGTCTGAGGAGAAGAAATATTACAAATAGTAAACACTGATACAAAACTGAGAAGCATGTTTTCAAACCCTTGAGACACCAAGTCAGTTAATGAGCTTTACTTCTGCAAGACTAATGGAGGATTGTTGCAGGCAATCATTCTACATGGCACATACCATTTAACTGAAAAGTAACAGTAATTCTGCTACGAATGAGGAATGTTCCTAACTGGCAAAAATGGATTGCCATGTTCTAGCTCAGTGCCTTTCCTTGTTCCCTTGTATAAACAACTGTTCTTTGGTTGTATGTCCTTATTAACCAGGATTAATAAAGTCACACACCTAACTTGCAAAAGCTGTGAGGATTCATGCTTAATGTTTATTTGGAGAAAGTTTAGTGATGATGAAAATTACTAATAGTATTTGCCTGTTGCACACTGGCAATCAGTGTATGAGTAGCTGTTCCCATGTGGGAGCTGAGGATTCTGTAGTTTACAAACTACGTTGATTTATGACTTTGAAACAGTTCTCAGTAGAGGTTAAACCTCTATGGAATAGAATGGAATGAAAACTGAGGAAAAATGAGTATATGTGTATTTTCACATATGTATTCTATACTAGCAAAAGGCAAAAACCCCCTCAGAATTCGCTGAACTGCACTGACAGAACCACCCCCTCTGGACCTGCAAATCAGCCACACAAGCTGGAAATCACATAGAAAACTGATACTGCTTTTGGTACTGTTTTTTAATACAACAACATGTTGTTTAGCTATGCTTACTAGGAAGCAACTTGATCCAAATTTGGTGGTTTCATAGATACAAAACCAATGCTTAACATATCTCCTTGCAGTCCAGACACCACTTGAATTCAGTCATGCAGATTTTGATAGAGGTTGCCAAAGCAGCTGATTAGTATTAGCTTCATGGCCTGTATAATCTGGACATGTGAGAGCTAACAAATGAAATAAAAAATTCAATTCATTTGATTGGCTAGATAGATTCATACTGGTTTTGATTTAGCAATTACTGATTGCAATTACTACATGAACTAAATTGGATTACATTCTTTGCAAACAGATATAGGTTGCTAGTCTTAGTTATTAAGATATACTTCCAGATTTCTCTCTTAACCTGAAGGGTGTTCCACTTACTTTTGCTTAAGGTGATGCTCATCATTATTCCTTTCAATATGCCAGATAGTAATAGAGCTCTCACTAACAATACACAGTTGTTGCCAATTCATAGGGTTAAAACTTAAAGAGGTTGCTGTTACACCTAGCTGAGACTCACTGCACAGAAGGATATTTTCTTTCCAGTTCCTTCAAAAAGAGAAGCAAGAGAAAATGAAATCCATTAAATAAGTCAAAAACATTAAAGCCAAAGTTCTGGATGTGATTATGACTGATATTCAAGATCACGTTTGGGAAACAAATACTTTTGTCACTGACAAAAATTTTCTGCTGTCATACAAGTTAGGTCCTGTTGAGAATGTACAGAGTTGATTGATTAGCCGCTCATCAAATTATTACTGCTACCAAAAGATGGAACAGAATCACAGAATCATTGGATGCCAAGTCAGAAGGGATCTCAAGGATCACCTAGTACAACCTTTCTAGGTAGGAACATAGTTAAGTCAGACAGCCCAGCATCTTGTCAAGCTGGGTCTTAAAAGTGTCTAGTGTTGGGGAATCCAGCACTTCCTTGGGAAGATAATTCTAGCATCCAAATGCTGTCATAGTGAAAAACGTTCTTCTGCTGTCCAATTGCAATTTCCCCAGGAGTAATTTGCACTTGCAATAGTAAAATAATTTTGAAAACTGATATTTTAGAAACATAATCATGCACTTGCTTTTGTGAAAAGACCAACAGAGTCAAGAGATATGGAATTTTTTTTCATCAGTTCCATTGGTGACTACTTGAAAGGGCTGAAACAATTAACTCTTCAGCACCCCAGACCTCAGCCTTGCTTCTCCAGTTCATAAAATAATGATTACAGTGCTTGCAGGCTTGCAGTTGGAAGGTATTATAATTAGGAAATAAAACACAGTCAGGCTGTGAGGATTAATTACTTCGGTAATAGAGTAATTGTGTTATGAATGCAGACATACAAGCTATGGCTGCATTAACTAACTTGAGCACAAGACAGGGCAGAATTTGTATGGGGCTGTTATGTATAGCTGACACAAGCCTGGGGATCTGCTTTCCACTGACTTCTATTTTGTCCAGTGTAGCCTATTTTACATTCTTGCCATCTAATTTGCATATTTACCATTATCCAGATTAATTCTTGACTGCATTTGCACTTTTAGGTGCTGTCCAAGAACTGATTAACATAATTTGAATAAAATGGTTAAAACTGCTTCTTAATTTCTTGGATAACATATCTGACTGTTAATCTAAATAACATTTATAGATTTAGTATTTGTCATTACTGCTAAGAGGAAGAAAATGTAAAATGCACACACTGCTGTAAATGGATTTAGTATAATCCTGTTGTTCTAGCCTGAAATAAATTCACTCACAGAAACAGGTCAGGATGCAAGACAATGGTTAGAACTGGAATGGAAGAATGGTTAGAATGATAGCATATGCAAAACAATGGTAAGAACTCACACATACACAGTCACTCCCATCAAAATTAAAGAAAGTTATAAGCTGCAATTCTGACACACTCTCTAAAGATCTGTCAGCATGTTCTCATCTCATACTCAGCGGCATGTGCCAGCAGTCTTTTATAGTAGATAGTTTATTAAGATCTGAAACTACTTGGCACATGTATCTGAAAAAGAATCTGGCATTAAGCCTCCACTTTGAACAGAAAAGAATAAAGATCTAGGCATAAAATATTTCAGATGAAAGGCAGCTCTTAGTGATCCCTAAGCTTTCTATATTTTGAGACTGACATAACTTTCAAAACATCTCGTGTACCTCTGATTCCAAAATACCTGCTTAAAATACAGGAACTGTGCAATCATCATATTGTAATGTCACATTAAGAATGCTAAACATTGAGATTTCTTTCACCTGTACACACACACTTCTACACTGAATGCACAATATAATCCAATTGCAGAAATGAAGGTTCTGATCTCCCAGGAAATTCACACACCTCTTTTCCAGTTAATATAAGATTAACATTGTAAGGTAATTCTATTCTGTTACTAAATTATTTCTGACTGGAACCTAGGATGGTTTAAATTGTTTGGCCTTGGAAAGTGCTACTACTTTAAAGTGTTTAAACATTTCCAGATATTTCCGTTTTTAACAATAATCTAGAGAAGTCTTTCAGGATGGTGGCTATTTGTTGAAGCACACACAATGAACACAATAGAGCATGTGGTTATTTCTGCTGTGACAGCTTGTAAGCTCCTCAGGCCAGTGAGGCTGTCTAGTTGGTTTCTACTGTGATGTACACACAGACATCTTTCCTGAACTCCTGTGTACAATTTGAGCTCACAGCAAACATTATTCTTCTTCACGAGGCATAAAGAAGTATCTACTACAGGATTATGGTTTTACAGAACAATTAAAAAAAATAAAATACTCTTTCTGTATCTGCATTATATTATATAATAGTATTTTTTAAGACAGTAAACAGAAAACAATGATCTAACCCAGTGACCTGTGGCAGTGTAATCACTGAGCAAAGCTATAAGACAGAACCGAGATCAAGCACAAGTAATTAAGAGGACCACTGAATGGTGTGGGAGGACAAAAAGAAAATATAAATTGCCTTTAGAATGATTTTCATCTCTTCAGCAGGCAACTTTATTTCACAAACAGCATGGTACTCTACTTCAAAGGCTGAAGAGATAATTAACGGATCTTGAGGATTTTCAAAAACAAAATTTTAAAGAAGGTAGAAGAAAGGTGTAGCAAAGCAGGAGTAATTCTCACTAGTGGCTTTTAATGCTAGAAAATAAATGGCAAATTTGGTATAGAAAGTTTGCAATGATCAATCAGAAAAAAAAAAATATATTATGGCAACCGGTGTGTCTTCCACGTTTGTTAACTTAATTTATGCTAAAACAGCACACAAATTAAAATACCAATGAAATTTAAATTGTATTAAATATTTTTTTTTACTCTTACCATACTGAAAGGACAAATTCTGGGATTGAAGAGTAACTGGCTAGATATGGGCCTTTGAAACTAAGTGCTAGTAAAGTGTAGTCCAGCTGAGCATTACCTGAAATGTAAAAATAAAGAACATGGTTTTTAATTGCCCTGGACTTTACTGTATACTGTGACAGATAGAGAACTCTTTTCAGCTCCTTTGTCCACTTTAACTCTTCAAAGACATTCTTTGTTTCCCCGATTCCTTTGCTTTGCTCCAGATTATTGTTTTGATTTGATCATAAAAGTGTTCCCTGTCACTGCTTGAAATTTTTTCAACCCTTTTCTATAGCACCCTTAATTTTTAAATTATTTTTTCCCCAAGTACCCTGAAAGCCTTTGCTGCCATAATTTTATTCATGCATATGAAATAAGCAAGGAATATGATCCTTATTTAAATGGCAAGCAAACTGAATCATGGATAGGGTAAGCAACAATTAAGGAGAGAAACGTTATGAGGCACACAAAAATATATACTAGATCCCAGTCACCAAAGTTTAACTGCAAGAACCTTCATTTCTCTCACATCTCAGATTTCTCCATGTGGCTTTCAGTAGTCTGCTTGGGAGCCTACTGCAGTATAATGTTTTTGTTATTCTAACTATATTTTCCTAAAATTAATTCCATTTTATTCCATTTTCCCCCCCCTTTAAAACAGCTTGGTTTTATACCATCATATTCCTCCCTAGCTTGAACCTAACTAAAAGTAGTGTAGTGGAAAATCCCATTGCTTTCCACACATCTGATCATGAGACAGTTTCCTGTCTCACCGTTTTCCAAGTCATATAAAATATCCTTCAGAAACGCAATGATTTAAGTATTGTTTTCAGTGAAACACGGGGAGGGTTACTACATCACTACCTTTTAATTCTGTCAGTTTATTCAGTTCTGGAAAACTGTAGATATATATGATGGGATTCAGCTTCCGGTCTGAAAAGGCCAGCACTTGAGTGTTCCCATTTGTTGTGAAGGCTCCCACCTGGCCAGCCTGACACTGCAGAAATGTCTTCTTCTTAGTTTCAATGTCCAGGAAGAGGATGTAGTTGCCACAAGGGTAACAGACAGTTCGGTTGTTGATAAAGCCAAAGTTCTTGTTTGGGAATCCCTGAACCCAACTTAAGAAAGAGCAACTGAATGTTAAAACATTAATCAAAGACACATTTCTCAAAATACTGTGCAAAACGAAAAGCTGTAGCCTGAGTTACAGTGAACTGATGCTTGGGATCTGCACAACCACAACAGCTTCAAGATCTAGTATTATGAATCACTGGTTCAGTGTTTCCAAAAACATGGGGTCAATCATACTGATGGAGCACAAAGGAGAGATGATTATACTTTTTCAGCTTTCACTAAAGATAAAATTAGCCACTTCACAGGCTCTGTTTTTATACTCATATAATCATAGTAATAGATCACCTTTACTGTGAAATAATTACACAGGTACAAAGTCTGCTGGCAACCCAATTTAGTTTGCTTAACCCTTTCACATTTTTATATTTAATCTTATCTCTGTAAAGTAAAAAATACGAAGGCATGGCTCATGTTTGTATGAACCTAACTAGGAGGATTGTTCTGCTTTAAAGATATCAGTACTTTAACATCACTAACCTCTGGAATGTAAACAGGATGTGTTACGCAAGGACTGAAAAAAATTACTGAAGAAGAGTCAGCTTGTGAACTTACAATGTCTCAACAAATTCTTAACTGCCTGCAGATGTTTTTACCTTTTAGACAGTGTGTGGATAAATACCAGGATCCTATTACCAAAGAGATTTGCACTTACCACTAAATGAAGGTGTCCGACTGAACCACAGCTTAGCCTGCTAATACCAAGTTAGAAAAGTTTTGGCAGTGTAACACATATCCTCTGTGTACAACACTGCCGTTAGCATCTCTTCTAATTTCTATTCAGAAACTTTCCATCTCTTCTTCCAAATAAGAGCATTTGACTGGAAGAGATCTTTATCCTCTGCAATTGCAAGCAGCATTTTTACACTCCTTTCATGTCAGTCAGTCATAAGATCAGCTCAGCTGCTAATCCTCTGCACTCTTACTAGAAAATTGTACTACAGCCTCAGCAGTCTCACAGGTAGGAGCATTTTTAAATGACTAGTCTTAAGATACTTATGTCCAGCAATCATTTCTCATTATCTTTTCTGGCTAGTTCCTGCTTTTGGTCTCTTGCTACGCACCAGAGGAGTAAGCATAGCTAGAGGGACTGGGAGCACACTAATCACATGCTTGTGCAGATGAACTGAATGCCATGGCAACAAAGAGGAGACATTCAGCTGATGAATGTTATTCCCGACCTTTTATACAAGAACAAGATACACGATGTGCCACTGCACATAAGCATAACGTGCTTATGAACGTGCTCACAGGACCAGCTCTGTGCATTTCTCCAACACCAGCTCTGAATCAGTGGAAACAACATATTTTTAACTTCTGTTTGCAGAGTTTGAATGAAGTCTAGAAAATAAATTTGCAGGGATAAATTAATGGGATGACAGCATAATTTATCATCCTTATACCACCAGTAACAACTCAGGGGGACAAGGATTCAGGCTGTTATCTGATGTCAGCTGTGACTGGTTCAGTACACACTGAGTCAGGTAATTAGCTGTGGCTCACCCACGTTCTCCGTGCTGTGTCTCTCTCCAGTTTGGTATAAACTTGTGTCAGAAATATTTCAGTCATAAATTCTGCCAGCTGGTGAAATGTAGATGGGGCAAAGTAATTAGAAATCTCCTTACCAAGCATTTTGCCACTGAAAATGCTAGTTCATACAAAACAGATTACATGAAACCACGAGTTTTGTCAAAGTTATGTGTTTTATGAAGACACAACACAGCATTTCAATTGCCTACTGCAAAATAATTTTGTCACTTTTCTCTAAAACTGGTAGACATACAACTACTGCTAACATTAACTCATGAGAAAGGCAGAATTTCAACTTTTCTATTTTATGGAAATGGGTTTTGCTTCACATTCAAAAGGTCTTCAATTATTTTTTTTATTTTGCATAATATTTTCATTTCATAGTGTTTTCACAAAGCAGAAAACCTGGGTCACAGCTCTTCCAAGTAACACCAGTTTGCACAGGAGGAACCTCCTCTGAATAGCAGTGACATGCTTCAGATGGTATCTCTTTTACTCTCCAAGTATGAGAATGGTCAAGGCTGAAGCCCATTTCTCCTACTACTAGAACAAATAGCTTTCTTTCCACTAAAAAGTGCTGCATTTATGAGCCTTTGTCTTATAAGCATCAGTTAAACAGCTGAAATACTTACAATGGGCAAGGAAGTTTAAACATCTGCCTCATTACATTAAAAAAATATCTAAATATCTAGATTGCTGTGAAAGTCTCAACCAAGGTGGGGCAGGAAGGGCTTAATTAATCTGCAGTTCCTAGTTGTTCAGAACCAAAAAGCAAGTTGTTGGATTGCCAAGAGCTCTGGAAGAGAAGTGTTTTTAAATATATATAGTGAGTTATGTTCGTGGGAAATAGAAATCTGAAAATCTCTGATGTGAAGGTTAAAATCCTGAGAAAGAAAAGCAGGAGTGAGGATTGAGAAAAACCAGGAAAATTAAGAGCCTGATCAGAAGAAGATGACAGTGGGGCTTAGGAGGTACAGAACAGCCATGGAAATTCTAGAGGTGGAAGCAGTCTGGGTATAACAGAAGGCAGATGTGGCCACGAACAGAACTGAACTGTATGGTTTCACCCAGCCAGGTACTGAGGAGAAAAAGCACATGCCACACTTCTCATCAACTCATCAAGCTCCAGCTTAAACATATTTTTTTTTAAAAAAAAAGTGGCCTCCCTTGCTTTTCCTG